AATTGTTCTTAAGCAAACCTGACAAATGTCTGCATTTTCCTGTTTGACTATTTCTTTGGAGTACAAAGGTCAGAAATGGGCACCAGCTAATTCATTTGCTCAGAGATTTTTTTCAGCTCTTCTTCCAAGTCCCATTGCCCATGTCAGCTTTCTGGACTCCTAATCTGATCCCAGGTGGAGAAGTCATTCCTTTAGAGAATATAAGCAATTTAAGGCCCAAGTCAAGTCCAGCTAATGTGGGTGAACAGGAAGGAAACAGAATTCCCGGGATGTCCTCAGGAAACCTAGTTGCTTGTAAACAGCCTGAGAGGTTGTTGGCTTGTTCGCCTTGTTGCTTGTCTCATTAGGGGGGACAAGTTGGGACCGAAGTGGAAGCTGGAGTTAAATGAAGTTCTGCCCTTCTGGACGCTGCACCCAGCTCCATGAGGCACCAGCTCCGCTCTTCTGCCCTTGTCAGCAGCATTGGGATGTCAGTCCTGGGAATGCTAGGGCTCTGTGCTAGACACTGGATTGGCTGAAGCAATCATTAACGTTCAAGGTGGCAAGGTTCTTTGGGAAGATTAGACCAACTAATAGTTGGTAGAAAAGAAGCTAATTTACAACATGCGGGTCTGTGAAAATGCAAATGGGCGGTAGCTTGGAAGACAATATTTTACAAACTCTCTGATTCAGGGAAGAGTCAGCACAAAGGTTTATTGTCCTGCTACTGCAGCTAAACAATCACTGAAGAGAGATGCTAATCCCATGTTGGATTAATGAGTAACAGTCATGTATGTGAGCATAACCTGTAGTTTATTTAATGGCTTTTTACAGTATATAAATTTCCTGCCATTGGCAGGTGTAGATGGCCTGAAGTGAAAGGTATTACCAGGAATCACTTAGCTGGCGATCACAGGCCTAAGAGGCTAAATAATAAAGCACATTAAAAAGCCACTGTCTCTTTAAAAGCTAAGTCTCATTCCAGTAAGATTGTTGGGAGCTCTGATATCACATTCAGGCTACTTTGGCATTTCATTGGGAGGCTAGGGTGAGACTACTTTCTATATATATATCTTGCACTAACTCCCTGCTAGTAAGTTATACAAAACAACTTTTCTGTAGTGGAGCCTCATTTCCTTACAGCCTTATTGTACCAGAGTTTATCAAATCTGTGCTGTTTTTCAGTAGTTCTTTGAAAATGCTAAATGTAGTGCAGGAGTGATGTTTTACCTGTGATGGTCCAGATATTATGCAAGGGGCAAGGATTTCTTAGGGTGAGATCTTTTATTGGACCAACTATGTAGTTGGGATAAAGTTAGACAAGCTTTCCCTATGTAAAACAGGTCTGATGAATTGTAATTTGAAATATTGAATGTTTACTGCTGAAAAATAGAAGTAAACCTTAGAATCATAGAAAATTGGGGTTGGAAGGGACCTTACCAACCCCCTGCCCAAAGCAGGACCATTCCCAACTAGATAATCCCAGCCAAGGCCTTGATATATCAACTGCAAATATTCACAAAATGAATGAAGCCTTAAAAAAAGAAGGAGGTTGTTTTAAATATGGAAGCAATTTTAATTGGATTTTATTTGCTTTTTAGAATCTGAGTCTCTAGATTATATTCCTGTCCCATTTGCAGTCTTCCTTCTACTATTGTGACAGCTTGATACTTAGGTGGATAATGAAAACTGAGATTATCATTAAAGTTAATTGTATGAGGCAGCACTCTGAAGTCTTAGTCCATGGGGTTAGAGATCACTGTGCCAGGCACTGGACCACAAGCGTTGATGTTTCAAGATGATCAGGATCCGTTGACATCTCTGTAATACTACTGTAATATTTCAGTAGCATTTCTTAAACAAGTTAATGATGCTCTAACTTTTGTTGCACTGCAGTTTCTGGGAGTGTTGTTGTTGACAATAATGGGTGTCGAATCACGCCTTTTTTGTGAGGGATGTTTTCCTTAGTTATGTGTTGGACTTTTGCTCAGTTTTCTCTTCCTTTCCACTTTCCCAGGTGTTGAGTCATATCAGTTCACAGTTTTTATAGCCACTGTAGAACTAGTGACCAGGAGAGTAGAGGCACAAAGTAGAGTTGCAAAGCTGAGCCAGAATTGTAATTTAAAAGGAAAACTTAAAAAAGAAAACCATAAAATAGAAAGGCACCTGATTTAGTTCCTACTGGGTGCATCTACGCAAGACACTTAACTGCACAGTCGCATACTTTACTGTAAAGAAAGCATGTGTGTCTACACATGCACAGGCTTACTATGCAGTGAACTTTACTAATCACTAGTAAATTTGCTACCTGCAAATGCAAGTAACAAACTTACTTTTGATAGTAACAGTGCAGTAGCGCTCATGTAGACGACTTGCCTGGAAGCAAATCTGCTCTTGGTCAGCCGTCTATCAGGGGGCAGGAGATTTCTCCTTGCCCCCAGGAGATACCTGCTTCTGGGGCAGGCTCTGTCACCGGAGCCCTCTTGGGAACTATGTCCCCCTGCCCCAGGAGCACAGAGCTCCAAGATCGCAATCGGGGAGCGGGGGCTGGGAGATGCTTATCTCCCAGCACCAGCTCCGCAGGTGTAGAGCTGAGCAGGGAGGAAGCTCCCCACCCTGTTCCTGACCCAACTCCATGCTCCCCTCACCCCCACCCCTCCCCAGCAGCTCTTTTTAAGTCTCCTGCCTCTGACTGGGGAGCCAGGGCCACAAGCTCCCTGCTGCCAGGGCAGGGAGACACTGTCCTCACCCCAGCAGCAGGCAGCCCCTGGGAGCAGGGGGTAATGTCCCAGCCTTGACCAGGAGACAGCTGTCTCCTGTTCTGGTGCTCCCTGCCAGCCCCTGGGCTTGCACCCAGGGGGAGCCTAGCGCTCCCCCTGGTGGTGGCAGAGGCCCATTGCAGGGCCCCAAGAAGCGGGAGCAGTTTGCTGCCATTAGCAGCAAATCTGTTCCTGCTTCCCTGCATGTATAGATACCTTCCCAGACCATTTACTCGCGAGTAGTTAACTCACAACTAAACTGATCCCGGATCAAATGCATGTGTTAGATGTGCCTACTGAGGCCAACGCAGTGACTTTAGGGGAAGCAGGTTCCAGCTCATGAGTTATGTGATTACAAATGTGTTGTTCATGTTGATGTTCACATTAAATATTTAGTCCCTGTAAAGATCCTTGCTGTCTGAAAACACAGGGCTGAATTATTTGCTATTGTAAACTGTTGTAGCTTTACTGAATGAAAAAGGAGCCAGGGTGATTGATACTGGCTAAGCAGCCAGCTCAAGGTTTTAAAAAATACTAAATGCCATGCACTGTGCAGACTAACTGCCTGAAAAATATTTTTCCAAATCAAGTCTCTTGACTGCAAATTTAACCAGAGAGATCCTTTTCTACATCCTTTCAGCATGTCTGGAACCCAGGGAAATCTAACCATTTATCCAGGTTGGAAGTAAACGAATGTCTAAGGCTATTCAAGTAGCTGTTTGAAATCCACTTCAGGCTGACATCTTGTGCTTCATATTTTAGTATGATGCACTTTGAAAATGTCATGCTTAAATAACATGTCTGCGATAGAATGCTGAAACTCCTAATATCATGGTTGCTGGGCACCATGGAAATATTTGCTTCATTTTAATGAGGAATTGCATGCATTAGTTAAAGGTTCTTAGCAAAAATTCATAAAAAGTAATCTCTTTGTATCATGGGAATATAAAATAAAGTGTATGTCCACTTGTGAATGTTCCACATATAAAGCTAGTACATTCATAGTCACTTGAAATACGTTTTTAAACAAGTCTCTTTGTTTTTCTTATTTAGCATCCACTAAGCTTAGTGATCTGTTATCAAAAACAGTTTTATACCTACCATGTACTGGGCCTGTAGCAGTGTTGCCTGGCCTGATGTAGGGCTCAGACCATAGCCTGCAACCTCATCTTTGGTTTCCTAAAATTAATTATTTTTCGAATGCTATCAAACACAGTTCTCCAGCCTCTGCAAAGCTGTTTTCTGGTGTGTTTTCTTGCAGAATGATATATGGAAGGTGTGCATGCATTTCAGCAATAGGAGCAGTTTATACAATCTAAGCCCTATCTGTGCTGAGCGATCACAAAGTAGTATTTCACCTTTAATATAACATTTCCTTTCCTGCATAACTGCTTCCCAACACTATTGTTTGACTCAGAGGGCTGGAATGAAGTCCCCTCTGAAGTGGAGACAACGCATTTCATATTTAAACAATTTAATATTTAATAGCTAACCAATTAAATATCTATGTAAAACAGCCATTTTTAAAGTCTTAAGAACAAGGCAATATGCAACAGTAGCCAGAACGGTACTCAGCTGATTGCCTGTATCAGTAGAGGAAAACATTACATTTGGCCCTTAAAGAGAACATGTGAATTTAGAGCTTTGAAAAACAGCTTTCTCTAGGGGGTGGGTTTTTTTTTTTTGTTTTTTTACTATTATGTGGGAGCTTTTGTTCGCTTAGGATTGTTTACTCCAGCAAGCAACCCTGTGCTCTTTGTTTAACTGAATTTTTTTTCTCATTTGGCCTGTCCTTCTCATTCACATGGATGGCATTCTTCTTTGCATTGTGGCATACAAGAAACTATTCTTTATTGACCTTGTTGTTGTCCTTACTGATTAAAATAAGAAAAAATGGTGAATAGTATAGCTTGCATCTGTCATTAGCTTTTACTTAGAAGTTATCTGAAGTCAAGAAACTCAGAAATAATTGCTTTCCACTTTATTTGCATCCCCAGTGAACAATCCTGAAGTCTCCTTAGTTGGAGACAAATTCTGCCCTTGATAGTCATGCACAATACCCCTGGCTGTCACAGAGTTGTGTGGGTATCGAAGGGTTGAATTTGTTTAATAAAAAAAGAGGCTGTACATTTTTTTTAATTACTTGGTTTCTCCGTTTGCCATACAGACCATGTGCTTACAGCAGACGGCTAACTATTTGCTTTTCAGTTTCCATGTGTTTTGCAAGTTAAACATTTAATGTTGTTTTTTATGTGATTGCAGTGGGAAGCAAATTAGAAGACTTGGAAGAACCTACACCAAATCATTCAGGAATTTCAATTTTAGCTCTTTCCTCAACACCACAAAACACACAGATCATGGATTGAATTCCTAATAGGTTTATTTGATCTAGAATTTCTCCAAGGGTTACAGTTAGTTTAATATGTGAGATGATGTACATCAAAAATAGATTGCACAAGGACCTGGTTCTGCAGTAATTCATCATTGCCTGGGTAAAATTCAGCCCTGCTGTAAAGGAACACAACTCTATTAAAATCAGTGGAATTAGGCCCATTTATAAAGGGCTGAGCTTGGCCAAACGCTTCATGTCCAATCCTGAGGACTCAGGCAGAAGTTAATCTGATGGACAGAAAACTCCAACTGCAATAAATGGTGATTATGCCCATACAAGGTCTAAGGCAGATGATAACAATGGGGCAACTCTTCAGCTGGTATAAATTAGAATTGCACCACTGCCTTCAGTGCTTTGATAGTTTATGCCAGTTTAAGATCTGCCCTTACAGAAAGAAACAGCACGTACTCACAGCTGTGCTTATGGAAAACAGCTGAAGTCCTTTGTGTCATCACCCATACAAAGCAACCGCAAAATGCCAGGAGGTCAAAATGATGGCATCGTGCACCCATTTTGCATGAGTATAAGTAATTAAGGAAGGTGTAAGAAAATGGGAAACCAGGCCCTGAGTATGCATATCTCAATTTATCTCACTATGTAGGTCCCGTGGAGCACTGTCATAATTGAGTTTTTGCACAGAGATGAATTTCATAAAATTATTAGTGGGCCTGCTAAAGCTATCTCTTAAGTCTGACAAAAGTCTCACTGACTTAAAGGAAAGCAAGATTAGGCCTGATAAAAACTGGTAAATGGTTTGGTCTACACTACAAAGCTTTGCAGCATATGTCAACCAGGAGTGTAGAAAGATCATACCCGCCACCAAAGGCAGCTATGTCAGCAAAGCCTCTGACATGGCCAGAGTCATGCAGATGTGCACCACTGGCACAGCTATAGCAGTGGTGGCTCTGTAATGGAGGCAAATCCATAGTCCAAACTAGTATTTATACCATTTCACTCAATGGTGCAAGTACAGCAGGTGATCTACAGAATAACCATCTCTTCCCTGTTAATAGGTTAGAGGGTATGTAAAGGTTAAGGTCAACTGTTGCACCAAAAGGCCACAAACCTTGTAAGTAAATAGTAAAGCTTTTATTTTTGTTAAGAACAGCATTTTGAAAATAAAACATTTGCCCATGCTTTACAACCTTTTTAATTTTGTATACTTATGTACAGTCATTATGGTACATGTTGATTGTCTTGAAAATCCTTTTAAAGATGTACTTAATACGATACCAGTCTGCAACAGTCAGCGGAAAAAAGGGTACGTTATAAAACACACATTAATACATTTAATAAATATATATATATTATCTATCAAAAATGAGCCTTTGCTCTCATCAGTTAATAAAAAGCACCTGCTTTGTAATCCTGTAAGCTGGTAGAATAGTCCAGTTGTTTTATAATAAAAGCTACAATGCTCCCCTTTACACAGCCTTTAGTTAAACCCAAGGCATCAAGCTCAAACAGCCAATCAAGATGCCTGTGCAATACTAAATACAGAAATAGCTAGTTCTATAATAGTTAGTGTACCTTGTGTGTAGAAACAAGGGTACGTATTTAGGGTTCCATCCTGCAAGATGCTCTACATCTAGGAGGTGCTGTGCACCCTTGACTCCCATTAATCAGGATTGGACCCTTAATGTATGGCTCTATAACAGGGGCCGGCAGCCTATGGCCTGTGGAGCCATTTGATTTGGCAGCAATAGCTCTCCCTGTGCTACTGCAGGGAAGAGTGATGGTGGGAGGTGGATCATAGTGTCCACCTGTCTACCTCCGACCCAAATTGGGTCAGTCTGGCCCACAGGTTCCCAACCTCTGCTCTATACTCTTCTCTTGCCATTGAACAAAGCCACTTATTATAGAAAGTTTTTTATTTATAACAAAGTTTTAAAATGTTTTAGGATTTCATTTTCCTATACAGATAATATGTGAGAAGGAAATAACCATTATTATTTTTAAAGGGACAACATAGTAGCTTTTTACACTATAAAAGCTCATTATACTGAAATCTGAAAGTCTTGTGCTTACAATTATTTAGTATTTTGATCACAGATGCTCTACATTCTAGCTAACTTTCAAAAAAGGCAAACATAAACAATATGTTTACATTAATAAAAATATAAGTTAACACAAAGGTGCCTTTTTTTCTCAATCACACATTATTTGGGGCATATTACACCACAGACTACCAATTGACAAACATAAGTCATTTATTACTAGTTATGTGAAGCTGGAAAATACATCCCATCCTCTAATCTATTACCACACCTCCACCACCACAAATTGCAGGTCCAGTTCTGCAAATCCTCACTGATGTGAATTGTACTCATTTACATGATTACCCTTTAAGAGTAGCCGTGTGAGTTAAGATTTACAGGATCTGGCCCTGGCTTTGCTTAGGGACTTCCAACTCCTATTGACTTTGTTAGGAGTAGATCTGGGACCTTAATTTGTCAATCTTTACACATCTAGGTAACATAAAGTACATTAACATTTCTAGGATCTCTGTATCTTGTAAAGAATTTGCCCAAAGTCTGTAAAATATGTGTTGTATTTAATTCATAATTCTCAGTTGTAGCACTGATAAATCTATTAAAAGAAACCTGTCCTACCATATGTGCCACGGTCATCTTACACATTTTGATAATACAAAATTATATATTTTAACCAGGGGTGTAGGTTGTAGCTGTGTTGGTCTAAGGACATAGGCAGACAAGGTTCTTTGGGTGAATCTGATATCTTTTATCTAATATAAAAGGTATCAGATTCACCCAAAGAACCTTGTCTGCCTATATTTTAACCAGGTTTTTTAATGAAACTTTTGTTGGCAAGCCATTATTAGTAGTGTTTATATGGCTCCCAGTGATTCAGTCTCTGGTTTAATAATCAGGATCACTAATATCATTTTATTTGATCAAGGCTTTGTTTTAAGAGGAACTGCATGGCTAAATTGCTGGACAACATGCAGGGGTGTGGGGGAAACAATCTTTGTTGTTTAAATTCAAACAAGCACATGCTTCCTTTGGCTCCAGCGGGGAACATCTGACATGGAGCTAACATGCTCCTTTAATCATGCATGACAGAAAAATATAGCTCCTCAGAGAGAAGGCTTTTAGGAATAAACCCCTATAAGATGATCATGGCAAGAATGGTGACTGTGTGTGTATATCTATGTGTGCGTGCATGTGCGTGTATGCATATATATATATATATAAATATATATAGATACATGCACATACATATTGGTATATTTGTGTGCAGCACTAAGGTCCTGATCCTGCAGCCCTTGCACTTGTAGGTAGACTTACTGATGTCAATGGACCTACTCATTTGAATACAAGTCTACAGGATTATATTCTCTTATATTAGAACTGGAGGTACATGACAAACTAGGAAGACTTTTTTATTAAAAAAATAAACAGCTTATCTTTTGCAGTATATAGCAAGGAGCTTTTTCCTGTAAAGCTATTCAGGTGTTCAGTTTCCTTTCTACATTTATACTTTTTATTTGAAAATATATATTTTTATTACAGCATATGCAAAATTTCATCCTTATACACTTTCATATACCCTCCTGTAAAAAGAGTTTGCTTTTATTATCTAGGAAAACTAAGAGTAATATTGGCCAAACAGTGAATTCAATGATGCTTTCAATGTTTGATATGTATTAAATGCTAAATAATAAAGGAATGATTTGCTTAAAAGTAATGAAGGCCATGGCACGAAAAATGGGCAATGAGAACCTGGTTAGATAACTTCTAACCCTTTGATAGAGTCTGCCTTATATAAGCTCCCCAAATAAAATAATAAAAATAAAAACACCATGACCTCCCGCATGGAGATGCTGCTACCTACACACTGAAGTGCGCTAAAAATTGCAGTCCGTGGGGCTACTCACATGAGTAGGGATTGCAAGACCAGGCCCACCTCTAGAAATAGAAGGTCTGATCCCTGAAGCTACCAAGTACCTCCTGGAAGGAGAGCTGTATCCTTCAGCTGCTACTGAGGTGCTTTGCTCAACATCTTAAGGATCAGCCCATAAGATCTCTGTCGTACAGGTGGTTTCATTTACTCTTTCATCTCTTGGGACTCCTTGGCAAACCCAAGCCTTATTCTCTCCTCAGCTAAGTCTCTGCAGAAGCAGGTCTCTGCATTGTTTCATACAGTGGCCCCACATGTACATTTGTACAAAAATAAGAGTCTGAGAACATGTGGTTCTTTGCCTGTACTCTGGGGTGAGACTGCAACAACAGGGTATCTTGACCATCAATTTCCGATTCCATATGACTGAGAAGATCTAACTCTACCTTGGACCGCTACCTTCCTTCTCTACCATTCAGGGGCTTTACACAGTTGCACAAAACATGCCACAGCCCTTCCATCTGTCCAGCACCAAATTTGATTCATGATCCTTTTAAAGAATAAAAGCATATCATTGTTGAGAGTGGTGGTCACTTTGTTGCCACAGACCAGCAATGCTCAACTCTACATGACATTCACAAGGACATTTACATCAGAAATGGATAACAGAGCAAACAAGAAAGTTTTTCATGAGACATTTGAAATGAAGAAAAAAAATCAACAAAGTAGAAAGAAAGCCTGTATGTTTTCACGCTGTAGTGGCAATCTCTTGTGGCAATATGGATTAAGTTTAGGAAAGAGAGGAGGGTTTTTTTTTGCAAGCAACTGGCAAGCAATAAAAATCAGGCTTGCCTTGCACACTAGTTACAGAGAGACTATATCTTACATTTCTGAATGCAGTATCCCCTCTTCAGTTTTAAAGTGTGCCTAGTTCTACTTCAAATTAGAGTCAGCTTGAATTTTGCAGAGTTGTATTTTTATGATTAGCTTCAGTTCAATAGTGTTCACATTTACATAAAATCCCCTCTAGGATTTCAGCTCCTGGATCTTTTGTTGCTTTGTTCTGGCATTTTTGATTCCTCCCTCAGAAAAAAACACTGCCAGGGAACAAAATCTGTAACAATGACTCTTATTCTCTAGAACCCATAGCTTTCACCAGAGGTGTCTTCCAGTGTAACTTGGCGGAGCAGTTGGTATCTGGAAATAAGGATAATAAACCCATAACTAAGAGCTCTAGATTTCAGAAATCAATGTTAACATGCTACATTTGCAAGGATAGCAGTCACACCTTTATTTCTAGGTAAAACAGTACAGTGATGTTTATCTTCAATCTGGGTACTATGTGCATCTCACCACAAGGAAAAGGTAAGATTGTCTATGTATTAGTCCTCTTACTTTATTGTCTACGGTAATAACCTTTAACTACTGTATGTATTTTTGGCCTGGAACAAGCTTTTTTCTCCCCCCTCTCTAATTTTTAATTTTTAAGCTGCCAGTGCTCACCCCTCTCTAATTTTTAATTTTTAAGCTGCCAATTCCCTGAGCTGCTTATTCTGGTATAAAGGAATACGGGGGCAGATGAATCCAGGCACCCAAAAGGATGATATGCATTATGGCTGTTGTAAGTCATTCTGAAAGCAAAACACAAACTTTATTGTCATTCAAAGTTGATTTATTCCCCCACTATATTATCAATGGAAGGAAAATACTGGTATCTAATAACGGTTCCCTTTAAGAAATCAAGCCTCTACTGAAAGAAACAGAGACCTAGAGTCAGCTCAAATCCTTTGTGTTTTAATGTTGAGTTATGGAATCAGCTCATGGTTTAAAACAATGAAAAGCCAACTTATGTGAGTGTAAACTGGCTCATGAGTAGCTTTAAGAAGCATGTAGTTATGCATGAAAATGTGGAAATGAGATTTCTCCTTTCTTTTCCAATGGGAGAGATTTCTATGCAATTCCTTAAGTGCAAATTATAGACACAATGGGAGTGAAATTGGCTGTTTGGCATCAGATATCTAAGCCATTCTTGCAATGACCAGGATGCAGAATAATACTTTGCCTATCAAATACGGGCATGCCAAACTATTATTTCAGAGAGGAAAATTAATGCACATTAATATTATGATATGTATATATCCTCTGGTAGCACACCTCTATAGCGGTGTTCAGTATACTAAAATATATATGTTATACGAGGAAAGTGAAAATGTCTGACATCCACACTATCTGCAACAGATTCTTATCAAGGGTATTTTGACCCACAGGCCAATATACTATACCAGCCTGTTGTATAATTTACACAGTGTTGCAGAAGTCAGGATACAAATTACATATCACTTGGTAGTTAGATTAGCAATTTTAATGTAAATTTAATCCAAAGTGACCATTGGACATGGGGCATCACCAGAAAACTCGGTTCACTCAAACTGAATGCCCAAGCAGAGAGATCCACATTATCCTGTAATTATATAATTTTGGAGGGGAATGGAAGCATTGCATGCATACTTGCTGCTAGAGATAGCATTTATTTTTCTCCCCCCATGTGAGCAAGCAGTCTAAACTCAGTTGTTCATTCAATAAGCAGTGGTTGCATATTCCCCAGGGTGTACCCCAGACTTTTAAAATCATCACATTTTGATACTTACAGTCCCACCGTTCAGCACAACTGCCATCTCAGTTGGCTGATAAACATTGCTTCTAAAGGGAGCGCTCGGTCGGCTGCCCAGACTGCCATTGCGAAATCCTGCTGTTCTTAAAGCTGTGTTTAAAAGGAGAAAGATGATTCTGATGAAAAAAATTGCTGCTACTTCTCCCATATACAATTTTGTCTACTGTCTTTTTAAACAGTAGTGGTGCCCTCAGGTGGAATCCTAATCCCAGTGAAGTCAATGGGATGGTTGGCTCTGACTGTAATGGTCATAATTTAACCCCAAATCTTTATACTGCCTTTGTACCGTTTTATTCTTACACTCCGGGTAGATCTTAGACTCTGTTTTAAGTAGAACTGGTAAGGCTTGGTATGAAGCAGAGAGAAAGTACTTGGGGCCAGACAGAACTGGCCTTAGGGGTGGGGTGACTGGCCATGGCATCGTGGTCAGGGGGATGCCATGCACACACACAGTGCCACCCCTTTCCCCAGGGAGCCCTTGTGGTCCCCCTAGTTGCTGCTGAGCCAGCCAGGCACCCCTTGAAGAGGATGGGGGATGGTGGAGTGGAGGGAGGTCATCCCCCTCCCTCGCTCCCCACTCCCGTCTCCATGGGCTGCCAGCCTCCCTCCCTTGGGAGCCAGGTGGCTTCCTTTCACCCCTCTGCCTCCAGTGGGAGCCAGGCAGCTGCCATCAATAATTAATCACCTTCCAGCAGTGGCTGGAAACAGCAGTGGCAATAAGAGTGGGCAGGAGGAGGAGAGGAGGGGTCAGCAGCAGAGGAGGGCACCACTGCCGGCGCCT